TTCTCGACATGTCATCTTTGATAAAACAATGTTTCCCTATGCTCTCCCTCCTTCATCCTCACCTTCTACATGATCCACTGATACTTATGTTGCCACTCCGCTCAAACCTCTACCCCCTCTTACATCTGATTTTGGTTTAGACACTAATACTACTCATGAGTGTTCATAGGAGTCTACTGCTACTACTATGTCACAAGATACCACGGATGATGCCTCTTCTGCCTCTCCACCCCCTACAGATCCTACTTCGGCTATTGGCTTTCCACAATCATCTGATGAAGAATATTCACCACCACCACCACGTGGCATGCACTCCATCCAAGAGCTATTAGATCGCACTACACCTGTTCCACCTCCACCTTATTCTCATATGGTGTTCGATCCAACCATCATGCTTTCACCATTCATCATCCCCTACCTAGTACATTGCTTACTGAACATAATGCTACCATCTCTGAACCAAGTTGCTTCTCTCAAGCAAATAAATATGTTGAATGGCATGATGCCATGTCCAAAGAATTCAATGCCTTGTTATAGGCATGGTACCTGGTCCTTGGTATCTCCACCCTCTCATGGTAATATTGTTGGGTGCAAATGGGTCTATAAAGTTAAAAAAAAAGCTAATGGCTCCGATGAATGATACAAGGCTCGTTTGGTAGCTAAGGGGTTTACTCAACAACCTGATATTGACTTCACTGATACTTTCAGCCCTGTTGTGAAGCCCACCACCATTAGTACGATTCTCACCATTGCTCACTCTTGTGCTTGGCCCATTCACCAACTTGATGTTCAAAACGCCTTTCTTCATGGTGAACTTCGTGAAGAGGTACACATGTCTCGACCACCGGGATTTGTAGACCCGGATCACCCCCACCACGTTTGTCGACCCCACAAGGCTATCTATGGCTTGAAACAAGCTCCTCGGGCCTGTTTTTTTCACCTATACTCCTTAATTCAGGAGGGGTTCACTGCTTCTACATGTGATAGCTCTTTGTTCATATTGCATAAGGGTTCAGTCACAATTATTGCCTTTGTTTACGTGGACGATATACTCCTTACCTCCAACTCTCAACCAGCCATTGATCACTTACTGGCCCAACTTCACTCAACATTTGCCATCAAAGACTTGGGTCCTCTTCATTTTTTTTCTTGGATTGGAGGTTCATAACAACGGTGATCGTCTCTTTCTATCTCAGTGCCGCTATATCCTCAATTTACTTAACAAAGCTGAAATGCTTAGCTCCAAACCTATCTCCACACCAATCCCACAAAATTCTTCTTTGTCATCATCTGACAGTGTAAGCCTTGATGACCCCATCTTATATCGGAGAATTGTTGGGTCGCTGCAGTATGTGACATTAATGCGACCGAATCTCTCCTTTATAATCAACAAGGTGTGCCAATTCCCCCATCAACCCACCACAGTGCATTTGCAGGTTGTCAATCGCATCCTATGATACTTGAAGCACACCATCTCACTGGACCTTGTCATCAACCGCTCATCTCTCTCCTCTCTCACTGCTTTCACTAATGCTAATTGGGCTGGATGCCTAGATGACAGAAGATCTACAGGTGGTTTCATTGTTTTTCTTGGTGATAATTTATTATCTTGGAGTGCCAAGAAGCAGCCAACGGTGGCTCGCTCCAGCACAGAATCTGAACTATGGGCACTTGCCAATGTTGCCACCGAACTGATATGGCTTACCTCTCTTTTAAAGGAACTTCATGTCTCACTCTCATCGCCACCCATTGTCTGGTGTGATAATGTTAGCACCACGTATCTTGTTGCAAATCCCATGTTTAAGGCCTGCACAAAACACATTGAAGTGGATTTCTACTTCCTTCGAGATATGGTTCTAAACCGATAGTTGGATGTTTGGCATATCAACTCTCATGATCAAGTGGCGGATATCTTCACCAAAGGCTTGTCATCTCCCTGCTTTTCTCAGTTACACTCCAAGCTCAACCTTACCCTATTGATCTTGTGGGGGGATGTGAAGGATAAATCCTAAGAGTTCTCGTATAACTCTTAGGTCATCAATCTCTTATCCTAAGAGTCCTTAACCATTGATGATTATACAGTTGTTCCCTTATCTGGTGTAAATGTTCAATTCAACTAAAACTCAAACTCTTGTAACTCTATATAAGAAATACAATTTCCACTCACTGAGTGTGTGATTCCTATCAATTACAAAATCAGTGTTAACACATCTATATATAAATAACAGTACACTAAATGAAATATTATTCAATTCATTCTCTTCAACTGATCTTGTAGGTTGTAGCTTTCGAAGACAAAGCTTGCAAGCTTTTTCTAGACCTAAACAAATTGCTCTGAGTTCCACCTCAAGAACTTATGAACCAAATGACATCATGACTTTAACAATTAGCAGCTTATAATTAGAGTCAAAAATGACAACAGTCGGAAGAGACTTTCCTCTACTTGTCATCAAAACCAGCATTGTAGAAAATATAAAAGCACTAGGGGCCTCCAAACCTTGAGATTGAGATGCCTAGGGTGGAAGTGAGGTATAATGAGGGGGGTTGCATCCCAAAATTCCTTATGTAGTTTGCAACTTTGAAGAATAATTTGAAAATGATCTGGTCGAGTATCAATAAAAAAACCAGAGTATTCTTGGCTTTGTAAATTCCCCACACAATGGTAGCCATAAGAGAAGCACTCTTGGAAATCTCCTCCATAGTTGAACCAAAGCTTCTAAACCAAGATAGAAACCAAGGAATAACTATAAAACCAAGTTGGCTCAAGCCACATCACATTTTAGAAGAAGATGAATAAGATCTTCCTCAATAACATAAGAAGTTGGGCAGGAGTTGTCATGATGGATGTGCAGCCTTGCCAACTCTGCTATTGACAGCTAAGGGTGTCAATAGACCGTTTTTGGACTGGATTCATCCAATCTAAAATCAATTTGGATGGATTGGACGGACCAACAAGATATATTGGATTGGACCAATCCGGTCCAAAATATTTATTAGATTGGATTGGACCTCGTCTGTCTATAATAAATTTATATTGGATTGGGTTGGATTAAGTCAATATTTGATCCATTGATATGAGATAAGAATATAGGTGTCAATGGACCATGTTTACGTTGAAACCAATCTAAATTAAAACAATTTTGAACCAGATTAAACGGTCCATGCATTGAATTAGACCGGTCCAAAATATTCATTGGATTGGATTGGACCTGGTCCATTTGTAATAGACTCACAATTAACACCCTTATTGACAGCAATTGTTTCACTTAACACCTCTAGATAAAGCCCTAATCTTCAAGGACACCTTAAGATTCCAAACATGAAGCCAAATCTCTAGTAGATGGCTTCTAGTAGGAAGTGATTATCCTAGTGACTGGCTTCAAACAAAGCCGAGAAAGCAACACTAAATACTCACCATTTTTAGTGAAAACCGAAGTAAACATATCATCAAAAGGGTTTTGTTTGAGCAGGATTACACGAATAGCATCTCTCTCTTGTTTCAAGAGCAACCAGTTGATGACTGGGATATTCAGCATTTCAACTAAAGATAAGATCTCCGTAAATTGCAACTAGACTTGTTCATGGGTTGGGCTTCATGCTCGGCCCATGAACATTTTACACTACTTCGGGCTTTGGCTTCAGGCTTGGAAAAGCTCAACTCAAGCCTAAGAGATGAACAAGTCTAGTTGCAACATTACTTGATGCCAAAATGGGTTGGAACTTGGAAATGAGAGGCCAGGTTTTAAGAGACAAAATGGGCATATCTATGCTTACATGCCAGCCAAACATGCCACAATTCTCACCTTATCAATTATTCCACAATTCCCAATGTGTAGCTGGTTGCCCTTGCTTTCAAAGTGTTTACAAGGTTTTTGTTTTAAGCCTTTAAGGAGATCTCGTCTCCTACCTTGAGCCCCGATCTCTTGAAAGAAAAAACTTTGAGAAAACATGGTATCCAATTGTACACATTAGGAATATCTAGCATACATGTGTGCTAAATTCATGGGGAGATGTTCCTGATGTGCAGTTGGATTCCTGTGCTTTCAGAGTGTTCACAAAATTTTTGCTTTCAGATCCTAGTCTCCTACCTCGTTGAGCTCAGATCGCCTAAAAGCAAAAACTCTTAGAACATGGCATCTAGTCACACATCAAAAATATCTCCCATACATGCATGTTAAATTCATGGGGAGATATTTTCAATGTCAAATTCTACCACCCATTAAAAGAAATTCTATCCAAAGTCAAATTCAAATTCATGCACGTTCTAAATGTCAGCTAGGTTAAAAAAAAAAAAAACGACCTGGATAATTCCCCAAATCAAATTCTATCCAAAGTCAAAACCAATTAGTAATTAATGATAAGGAATTACTGGTGGATATCCTTTCTCCATCCATTAAAAGAATGGGTAAATTTCTAAAACCTCCCCTCAAAGTTTTTAACCATTGCTAGTTGAAACCTCCCGTGAAGGCACAAAAATGTTTAAAATACCCATACAATTACTTTTGACTAAAATGTTTAATTTTTTTTCCATTATCAATAATAGTTATATATATCCTAGCCCTTCCAATTACTTTTCCGAAATTGGTTTATTTTTCGAATTTGCCCTCCATATCAATGGCTTTTAACTTTAGGGGAGGTTTCAGCGACTATCAGAAACTTGAGAGAAGATTTTAACAATTTACCCTAAAAGAAAATATTGGTGAAATTGACAGACGACATTCTTTCTTCCTTTTCCATAGTCAGTTAGTCCTTACCCACTAGACAGTAGACACGCACTATAGTAACTACTGAATGAAGAAAGAGATTGACGCTGTGGATTTGGAAATACCGTGAGCCACAAACCAAATTTAGCAAGTCTGCGAGTCAGACCACGATACTCATATTGAACGGCAGACGAAATTTTGAAAGGAGCCAGAAACTCAAAACCAGTCGTCATTGTCGTCAACATTTGATCTGCTTTGAACGCGTCTCTTTTCTCTCCTCCTCGGCTCCTCCTATAAATGGCAAAGACAAAAGAGATGCAGCCTTCGCAACTACCACGTGCAGAGCTCCGCTGCATCTCAGGCGAGTCGCCTCATAAACATGAAACATCTATAAATACCGTCGCAGTAAATCTCGTAAACAATTTTGAAAGGTCTGAGAAAACACGCAAGTTATTAGCTCTGCAGGATTCTTCTTCTTCCTTCTTCTTGTTGCTAATTTTCTTTGATTTGAGAAGAGTTCAAAAGAAGGAATATAAAAGGCAGTAAAGATAGCGGGAGAGAAAGATAACGATGGTCAACAGCAGCAGGAGGAGACGATCAAAAGATCGTCGTCTTCTGCAAGATTATCTCTTTCAGTTTCGTCGGGGCTTCCCAGGATTCCTTCGACGGATGCGGAAGCGCCCTTAATTACAGATGATAGCACCGATGATGCCGAAGAACTTCATCACGCGCCGTCGACCCTTGTCGACTCTGGTGAAGGTGACTACCCCCCGGTGACAAACTTCGATGACGCAAAAGCTGTGTGTTGGAGGGAGTCGACCAAGCTATGGGCCATTGCCGGACCCATCGCATTTAACATACTCTGCCTATACGGGGTCAACTCTTCTACGCAGATCTTCGTCGGTCATCTTGGAGATGTCGAGCTCTCCGCCGTTGCCATTTCCCTGTCTGTCATCTCCAACTTCTCTTTCGGCTTTCTGGTGAGCTTCTCTCTCTCATTCGATCACACAGTTACATACATACATGCAGTGACGCTGCAACTGCACTTATATTGTTTGTCTCTTTTCCTCATTCAAAAACAAAAAACAAAAAATGCAGCTGGGTATGGGAAGTGCGCTGGAGACGCTATGTGGGCAGGCCTTTGGTGCTGGGCAGGTTTTCATGCTTGGCGTCTATATGCAACGCTCATGGATCATCCTCTCAGTCTCATGCGTTCTCCTGTGTCCAGTTTACATCTTTGCCACCCCGATCCTAAAGCTCCTAGGACAAGAAGATGACATTGCCGATCTTTCTGGGAAATTTTCGATCCAAATCATCCCACAGATGTTCTCACTTGCATTTACTTTCCCCACCCAGAAGTTCCTACAGGCCCAAAGCAAGGTGGGGATCCTGGCATGGATTGGATTTCTGGATCTAATTCTGCATGTAATGTTGCTCTGGATCTGTGTGTATTGGTTCAACTGGGGCGTTTATGGTGCGGCTGTGGCATACAACATCTCTGCCTGGGCGGTTTCCATTGCACAAGTGGCCTATGTGGTGTGCTTCTGTAAGGATGGATGGAAGGGGTTGTCTTGGTTGGCATTCAAGGAGATCTGGGCCTTCGTTAGGCTCTCGGTGGCCTCTGCCGTGATGCTTTGCCTAGAGATTTGGTACATGATGATTTTAATTGTCCTCACTGGCCACCTTGGTGATGCAATCATAGCAGTTGGGTCCATCTCTATTTGGTAATCAAATGAGCTTACTTAATTCTCTTACGTTATTACTTGAATCTGAATGCTTGTAAGTTGTAACAGTCTCTGTTTTTTGCTTTCTATTTCAGTATGAATATCAACGGTTGGGAAAACATGATTTTTATTGGAATCAATGCCGCCATAAGGTAATTAAGGAACTAGACTCTGACCTCTCACCACGGAACCCAACAATATTTCTGGGAGGTAATGGTGGTTTTCATGGTGGGAGAGTCTCACAATCACAAATCTGTCCATCTTTTCGTTTTTGATTTTAGTGTTTTCCCTCTTTATTTTATTAAAATAAATTAGTTCAATCTATTTCGTTTTCTTTCTCTTTACTTCAGCGTCCGTGTCTCAAACGAGCTTGGATCGGGACACCCCAGAGCCACCAAATATGCAGTTATCGTTGTGATTCTCGAGTCTCTCCTTATTGGGCTTTTCTCCATGATTATGATCCTAGCAACAAAAGACCAGTTTCCCATCATTTTTACAAATAGCAAGGAATTACAGCATGCTGTCACTCGATTGGCTTACCTTCTGGCTATTACCATGGTGCTTAACAGCATACAACCAGTTATCTCAGGTTTCTCTCTCTCTATTACAGTAACCTCCTTTGGGGCTCCAAATGATCGGATTTAAAAATATGATCAGTTTATTAATTGTACAAATTCGGATATTGCTTGATTTAATATTTTAGGTAAATTTCTGAGACCTCCCCTGAAGTTTGGTATTTGTAATCAGTTTGGCTGAATTTTCTGATGCAGTTGCAAGTAGACCCCCTCTCTTAGAATCCTCTAAAAAGAGACATGAAAATTTTCAAAATACCTATGCAGTTAATAGTGAGGCTGGTTTCTAAAGAAAAAAAAAAGGAGTACAAACTTTATGAACATAAAAGAGAGAGAGAGAGAGAGAATTTGAAGTTGGCCTTTGAGTGATTCATATGAAGGGCAAATTTGGAAATAAATCAATTTTAAAAAAGAGATCCAAAGTGCTTGGGGTAGCAATTTATATGTAGAGAAAACTTGAAAAATAAACATTTTTGTCAAAGTAACTGTATGGGTATTTTGGAAATTTTATACCTCTTTTTAGAGGATTATAATAGAAGGGCTCTACTTGCAACTATGTCGGAAAGTTCAGGGAGGTGATTGCAATTATCAAACTTTAAGGGAGGTTTTAGCAACAACCAAAAACTTCGGGGAAAGTTTCAGCAATTTACCCATCTATTTTTTCTATTTATAGTATATATTTGTAAATTTATGCCAATTTTATACCAAATCTGCTAATGTTCTGGTCAAATCAACTCTAGTTGGATATCTAGTTACCTAAATGATACGAGTTTGAAACTATGTTTTACATATCCATCTAATATTGAATCAAGTTCAGATCTCTCAGGATCGGGTTTAGGTTCTATGTAATCCACTTGTAGCCCTACTATATGGTGCTAGACCTGTTCATGGGTTGGGCTTTGGGCTTGACTTTACATTATGGTCGGGCTCGAGCTTCGGACTAGGCCCATTCAAATTTGGCAAAACCCAAACCCGAACCGGCCCATGAACAAGTCTACATGGTGCAAGTTGAGCCAGATTGGGTTGGGTTGAGGCCAATCCTAACCTAACCCTAATTCAACCTGAAATTTTCTCCATTAGCTCTTGCTACATATTCTTATTTTATAGAGCCTTTAGTTTTAGCATTAATGATATAAGAGCACATGCTATGCATGTGTGCAAGCAAGTACTAACCTTATATGATATATAGCATTTGAATTTAACTTTTATGACCTATAATGAAACCAAGACAAGTATATGTTGTATATAGTATAAATAATAAATAATATGGTAATAGGACAATTATTTTGACTTTACATAAATATACACATATAACATTAGGGGTCTAATCGAGTCAAGTCGAGCTGAGTATCATGCTACTTGAGGTCAAGCTTGACTCAAAAACAGAGTTTGAAACTTGACTTAAGCTCGATTGGGGTTTCAAGCTTCTGGCTCAAACTTGACTAGAGTAATACTCACAAGCTACTTGAGCTTGACTTGATTCAAGCAAATTATAAATAAATTAGCAATAAAAGTTATAAATAAATTAATATTAAGTATATTAAAAATAAAAATATATTAAAAAGTATATATAGCTTAATATTATAAATACTATAAATAAAAATATATTATGAAAGTCAATTATAAATTTATTTATTAATACTATAAATAAGTTAATGTCAAAATATTAATGTTGATTTATATTATAAATATAAATATATTAAAAAATAGTATTTTTATTCTGAGCTTGATTAGGCTTGTGATCCACTCAAGCTGAGTGTTATGAAGCTCAAACTCGGCTCAACCAACTACTCGAATCAAGTCAAGATCGGCTCAAACTCAATTACTTTGAGCCGAGTTTAAGTATTTAGCGAGCTGAGCCCAAATAGCTCGCGAATAGGCTCAACTCGCTTTCACCCCTACATAACATACATACATACATAATTATTTGCATCCAAAAATATATGTTTATATAATATTTATGCGTATAAATATAAAGTTAAGTTTGGGTTCAGGTTGGGTTGGGCTGGCCAATGCTTCAACCCTAACCACCTCAAAATTAAATTGGGTATATTACTATTCCCTTGAAAAAAATTTTATTTAATTATTTTATCAACTAAAAGACAATTCGATAAGTCTTTTAGCTCAACAACTTCAGCTGTTATGAAGCGGTCCTTAAAGTTGGGTAGATCACTTGGGCCCTTTCTAATGCATGTAGGGCAGCAACTTAGGCAGGCCCAACCTGATACAACACGAGTTTTTGCATAGGTTGGGTTTAAGTTTCTGGGCTTAAGTCAAAAAACTCAAGGCCGACCTAAACTCCAATTGGGCTTGGGTTGAGGCCTCGTGTGGCTCAAACCCGTCCAAATAAATTCGTTTATTAATACATTTTATTTATATAAAAATATTTTTTCAATTATATATACATCTAATAAAATTTGTACATATATTCAATCCATTTTATTCCTAAATTGAGGCTATAACTAATAAAAATGGCAATAATCTTTCAAACACGATCAATCCACCTAGGCATAACTAAGCTCGGCCCAACTTGTATTGGGTTAAGCTCAGGTTGGGCCTGGGTGGTAAGTTCAAACTTTTTTCTATTCAAATAAATCCAGTTTTTTAGCTTCGATTACATCGGTTTGAATTTGTCACAGGCGTTGCTGTTGGTGGAGGGTGGCAAGCAATGGTGGCTTATATTAATTTGGCTTGTTATTATCTTTTCGGGCTTCCACTTGGGTTCCTGCTTGGTTACAAATGTAACGAAGGAGTGGAGGTAAGTTCCATATGGTTCCTATAACTACAACCATTGTAGTGGGAGTATACCAACATATTAGTTTTGTTAAATTTATTGAATTTTTTCTGAAACTAAGGCTCAGTTTGAAAGGAGTATAAATATAAATATGTAGAGTGCAAAACTTTATATTTTGTATTATTTAGTATGTATTTATATTGTATATATTTGTATTTGTATTATTTTGTATGTATTTATATTATACAGTATATTTATACAAAATAGTACAAAATACAAGATTTTGCACTCCACATATTTGTATTTACACTCCTTCTAAATTGAGCTTTAAGTGTTATGATTGGAGCACATAAGGGACAAATCCCTAGGGCAAAGGCCAAAAATGTTTCGAAAGTACAGACACTCCTATCATCTTTTGCAAATAGACCTGGAAAAAAGTTGGCCCAACCCGCGAACCCAACCCAATCAACCCAAAAAAACAGAGTTAGGGTCTCATATTTAGCTACCTGAATATGAGAATGACCCAACCTGACCCGAAGAAAACCGGGTTGGGTTGAGTTGGGTCATGGGTCAACCCGCTAATCTGATTGTCAAGTTTAATTGGGACTATTTATGCATTGTTAGAAGTTTTCACTCTTTAATTTTTTCTATTTATTTTTTCAATTTATTGTTTATTCTTTAAATTGTTAGATGTTCAAATTTTTTATTTTATATTTGGAATTTTAAGGTTAATTCCAGTCTTCATTTTCATGTAGTTTTTCTTTATTTTTTTTAATTTCAATTATTTTTTGAGATGACCTAAATTGACCCATGGGTCAACCCTAACCCAAACACCCAAACATATAGGGTTAGGGTCTAGCACTTGATAACCCAACCCAAATCAACCCGAAGTATCTTGACCCAACCCGGTCTCGACCCACCAACCCAATTGCCAGGTCTATTTGCAAATGTTCTTTACACAAGGGATGTGCTGTATTTAGGATGTGTCCTAAATTTTTTTCCCATTTTTATGAATCGGATGTCTTAATCAACTCTTAAATTAAAATGAACAACCCCCCCCCCCCCCGTCACCCACATCCACCCAAAAAGAGACAGAGCTCACTTTCTTCTTCTTCTTTCCCGTGGATGTTTAGCTCCAATAATAATGGCTGCTATGATTGCAGGGAATTTGGGCCGGTATGCTTTGTGGAACATTGCTGCAGACATTTGTCCTCTTCTTAATCGTTTGGAACACCAATTGGAACAAGGAGGTAAGTAATGGCTTTTTACTGTAATATGCCTATAAAGTATGTTTGAATGATGAGAAATATTCTATAATACATATATAAAGGTCTTCAGGTAACAACCCCTACCCTTCAGATATATGGCATTGTAAAATTTCAATAGATCGAATTTTAGAAGAGGTTAAGCTCTCATTCTTAAAAAAGTTTATCCATTCACAAAAAAGTGATAACTCCACTCTCTTAAAATTCACATACATAACATCCTAATCCCTAAAAAGTGGTTACTTTAATAAGATAGTAACTGAATTTTATTCAAACACAATTATTTCGAAAGTAATGATTAAACAAATAATTTAACTTAAAAATAATCAAAATACTAAATGGATAAAAATAAAAATAAATGAAATTCATAAAAATGACTAAACAATTAATACAAATGGTGTGAATTTCATTGTTTTAGATGAAATAGTTTATTAATTGCAAACTAGATTTAACTTTTTTTGGAAGCATAACCTAGTTTAGTTTTTAAAAATAAATTTATCAAATAAATATTAAATACCAATTAAAGTGGGTTACTGTTTACAAATAAGATCTCATTTAATCTCTTAATTCATATTAAAAACAACATAAATTAATAGTTATTTTCAAACAAAGGAGGTCAGAATAGATTGTCAATTACAAAGATGTAAGAGCCATATTAATTTTCTAATTTAATTTTTTATAGTTAAATAGTAAATTTCAAAATTTAATGATAATGTAGGCCTTGTTTGGTTCACTGCTCTGGGCCTCATTCTAGGCAAGAATGGGCAAGAATGAATAACATTAGAGTGTTTGGTTACAAAATTCTTGCCCAGGGCCACATTCTTTTTAGAATGAAAAATCAGTCCCATAGCACAAAAAATTGGCTAGCCTGCAGCATAAAAAATAAGCATGCTCCATCTTGCTCATTTCATTCTTTGATGAAACTCTGCCTATAAAATTGTTGCCATAGATGTTTACTTTTGTGAAAAAACTTTTATAAAAGTACTTTTACATGAAAGCACTTTTACAAAATCACTTTTATGGAAGTGCTTTTACGAAAGAACTTTTATGAAAGTACTTTTATGGAAGTACTTTTACGAAAGCACTTTTATAAAAGCACTTTTATGGAAGTACTTTTATGAAAGAACTTTTACAAAAGTACTTTTATAAAAGCACTTTTACGAAAATATTTTTATGAAAACACTTTTACAAAAATACAAAAGCACTTTTATAAAAGCTCTTTTACGAAAGTACTTTTATAAAAGCACTTTTATGAAAGTACTTTTACAAAACATCTATGTCAATTGGTAAACATTGACTATTTGAGACCTAGGTTGGCGGTTTGTGAATACTAGCACCTTTTTCTTTTAAGAATGAAAATGAGCAACATAGGGCACTTGTCAGTCTGAAAAGAATTCATTTTTAAGAAAAAAGTGTTTGGTTCATAGCAATATTTTCTCATTCTGCCTATTTTTACCCATTCTTTTCCATTTTAGAATTTCATCTTGGGTAAGAATGAGAATTGAACCAAACATGGCCATATCTGCCCCTTAGTATGGGGTATTCTCTAGATAAAACATGATAAATCTCTTAAATCAAATAAAAAGCCTAACCTAAATGTTTAATATAAAAAATTGAAATAATTCAGATTAATGGTCTCGCACTTAGTACGAGGGTCATTCCTAGTATAGACTGATAATAAAGCTTATGATAGTCTTAGAACAGTTAGGTGATTTAATGGGGATTAAAAACACCACTTACGGGTCGAAAACCTCATTACATGATATTTTTGAAATGATCCAATAGTTTCTTTCTTTCTTCCTTCCTTCTTTGGTTATTCAGCAGATCATTTATTTTGCTCCTTTCCATTATAGTTGAAAGTAAAAGAAAAAAAAAAGTTATTGATCAAGAAAAAGCTTTAGAAGTTGGATAACTCCAATGCTCTAAGGCTCCATTTGTTTCAACAATAAGATGATAGGAGAATTGTTTTTCTCCACAATGAGAACTTTGCTTTCATTGTTGTTTACATCAATCCAACTTTTATGATAGGAGAATTGTTTTTCTCCACAATGAGAACTTTGATTTCCTTGTTGTTTACATCAATCCAACTTTTAAGAAGATCAAATTACAGGTAGAAGCAGCATCAGAACGTGTGCGGATGTGGGGCGGACAAGACATTGACGATTTAGATCTTTGAGATTGATTCTCATGGAGGAAGGTACAATGTTTAGGAGTGCCTCCTTTGATGAGAAAGTTTGCCGCTTTGTTGTATGATTATATCTGTTCTTATTGTTTCAATTTCTTTCCTTCTTAGTTTGGTGTTAGAACCCATTAGGTTTAATATAAAAATGTATCTTTACGACTTTTTTTTTACAGACAAACTTGAGATTAGCTTTAATCTATGATGCATGAACTATACTTTGAAGCCAAAAAAAAATTAAATCAATGATAAAACATGTCATGGTTAAATCATTAACCTTATCAAAGTCTAACGATAAGTACACCTTGTGAAACCAATTAAAAGTAATTAAATACATGACACCTACAAAATGATTGGATGAAATTTTGATTTGAATGTGCATCAAATATTCAAATTGTCCCATGTTTATATTATTTTGTCAACTAGAAGTAATAGGCTGCAACTGGCCCAATCTAACATTTTACACTGCTCTAGATTTGGGCCTTTGGATCGGGCCTATTCAAATTTTGACAAAAGTAGTCTAACCTTGTGCAAAAAGGATTCTATCCCAAAGTCTGTGCTACAACCAGCCACTACCTTACCGACCTTGTCACCTCGGTGATCTTATACATCTATTATTATACAAATTGTATGCATTACCTTGGTGGAAGCATGAGCAGAAAAACAAGTGATGTTTGTAAGATGACAATGTTAGAAGCCCCATGTGAAAATATGAAACTAAAAAAATTAAAAAAAAAAGGGTTTTTGACTCATAAAACACCCAATATGCATGTTCATACATATCAAGTGTATCAATACTTTGAACCATGACCAAATCTAATTGGATCATATCAGATTATCTCAATTAACAATTAGTTCATTTTTTGGTCTATCTAATCAATTAATAATCGATCTGGATGTTACCCTAGACCAGCCATTGACACCTTTACCGACCAACCACCACCAATTTTAAGGGCCCATTACTTTTTTAGATTTTGAGAGAGGGGAAAGTCAGTCAATGGGATTTTGGTTCCTGTTTACCAAGATACCCATGTTCTTTTTTCATATTTGTGTGGGATCCATAAAAAAATTATTTTCGTTGGGTATCACTTACCTGAATAAGTGATACTCGTCTCCTAGGTGGGTAACTTTCCCACCTAGGGGTGGGGGGGAGTTGCCAACACTTGGATGGGAAAAAGTTGCCCTTTTTAATAACGACTTTTATGGCTAAAATGGTCATTGTCTTAATTACCTGGAAAATAAAAGGTTCTCAATATGTTGATTGATATTCATTGACCACATTCACATTCTCATGATAAAGGCACCAAATTTCTCAATTGAACCTAAGTGAATAAGAGGGTGGTAATGGTTTGAAAAAAAGGTAAATTGCTAAAACCTCCTCTAAAGTTTTTTGTTGTTGTTGAAAATATCCCCCTAAAGTTTGGTCATTATAGTCACCTCCCCTAGACTTTCTAACATAGTTGCATGTAGATCCCCTTTGTTAGAATCTTCTAAAAAGAGGCATGAAAATGTCCAAAATGCCCATGTAGTTACTTTTGACCAAAATGTTTATTTTCCAAATTTTGACCTCATATGAACCGCTAGCCCAAATCCTTCCACTCTCTTTTCTAAAATTGATTTATTTTCCAAAATTTTCCTTCATATCAATCATTCAAAGGCAAGGTTGCAACTTTAAATTCTCTATTTTTTTATTTGTTAATTATAAAATTTGTATTGTTTTTCTGTAGAAATCAACCTCAATAATAATTGCATGGGTATTTTGGACATTTTTGTGCATCTTTTTAAAAGATTATAACCGAAGGGGTCTACTTGCAACTATATTAGAAAGTTTAGGGGAGATGATTGCAATCATTAAACTTCAGGGGAGGTTTCAACAATTTACTCAAAAAATGAAAGCGACATTGCAAGCTTTTAAGCCTGTAGGGATTTTTTTTTTACCATGCCTATTACATAGTAAACAAAAGGCACTACTTTAATTAGGGTTAATAATGTTGTTTTCTCTTCCTTAGTAAACAATTTTAAGAATTAATATACCCTTTCTTTCCTTACAAATGAAAGAAATAATGTGAACAATTGGTTTAATACTCACTACATATGAACTTCACCATAAAGTATAGACCCAATTAACCAAGTGATTAACATGGCTATATTCATTTCTCATCTTTTTATGTGGGCTTGACAAGGCAATGGTTAGGCTAAGGTTAGAAAGTGGGAACTTGCATCCTACATATCCTTCATTCCACCTTTTAAATGTACTTTCCAATTATATTTTATCACACTATATTAAAATCTTTGTTTTCAAAATCTTTAAATTTAAGGCTAAATACTTAAAGTGCCTCTATGATTTAGAAAATGGACAAAAACATACCCTACTATTTAAAAATTACTTAAGGTACCCATATTTTTTCTGACAATGAGCATCGCATTAAATATTGACTTAAAAAGTAAAATGTTGAATTTGCCCTCCATTATATCTCAAATTTTCAAAATAGAACCCTACTAATAAAAATTAAAACTTAGGATCCAACACTATGGAGGATGTGATAATAATTAGATCACCCACCCATACCCACCAACCAAAATATGTTGGATGCGATATACTTGTCAATGGAGCTATAATTGGTAAAGTTGTAAAGGTTGTGGCTGTAAGGCTCGATTTGAATGCTAAATTACCCATTGCCTAAAGATGAAATGGTGAGATCATTCATAAGGACTTTAGGTGATCCATACTATTTAATAATGATTGGCCATCCTCTTAAAGATTTTAACGAGGTTGTTAGACGGGCCATCAAGATTAAGGAAGCTATATGACAGGGGAGGTTTAACCCCTTAACATCTATAACACCCAGAGGAGTTAGTTCATCTAACACTAGCCCCACAACCTCCCACTCCCCAACAACCACCTTTGGCAGTTGATCATAACCTTTGCACTCAAAAGGAGAAAATGGTAGAGTTTACTCTCTTAGCGTACATCTGTACCCACACTCTTAGATGTTGCCAACATTGGTCAAAGAGGGATATTTGAGACTGTTGATGTGAAAGCCACCACCAAAACCCAAGCCGAAGGGATATGATGAGAACGCATATTGTGCTACCACCAAGGCCCAGGGCATATGACAGATAGGTATTGGCAACTTTAGTATCCAACTCAAAGATTAATTGATGATGGTGTTATCACATTTCAAGTAGAGCAGGCAAAGTAACAACAACCAATGAGAATCATACAAAACCCTATGCCACCACATGGAGTGGGGCCAAGCAACAATATTCACTACATTGAGGAAGGTAAGCAATCCCTAAACCCTTCAATGTTGATTGTTCTAATTGGTGCCTTATCAAAAGTATCTTTACCATTCGTCCTGACATCCCTCAACATTGTTTGCACCATCTAACCTCCTTTTTGTATCCTAGTCCCCTTAACACAGGTTAAGAGGCAAGTCTCTTAACCTATCTTATAGTTAATTTTAGTTAGCTATTTGCTATTTAGTTGTTTTTTTTTTTGTGTGTATTTTGGTGGTTCAAACTTGGATTTAATGAGATTGGAACTCTAAATCTGTGAAAGTTTTCCTTCAAGCTTCTTGTAATTTCAGAATTAGAGGAAGAGAGGTGAGGGATTTAGGAAAAATTAGTACCTAATTGCCGATAACATTCCCTTAAAACTGAGATGAAAAGATGCTAGAAGGGGTCCTATTCACAAATTCTAGAATTCCACCTTTGTTAATTTGAATTTTTGTGAAGTTGAGAGCCTAAACAACTTCCATATCGAGTTGTCATTTTCAGTTTGGAGATAAGGTGCTTAACACGTTCCCTCTCCCAATCCTAGCAGGTTTAGAGTCTCTTGGTAAGTGCTTTTTAAGTGGATGATGGAGACTACGTTTCAAAACAAAAATCGATTTTCTCGAACTTATAGAGGACCCATTTCCTCTAAAAAATGGGTGGTGACTCCTTTGCTTGAGCCGACAATGAGCTTTCTAGAGCTCACAAACAAGGAATTTTTTGATTAAGGTCAAAAGGTTTTGCATATTGATCAAATACACAACAAACATATATTGTACTAGTGGGGAGTTGTGTGATGCATAGGCTTTGTTAAAAGAAATTGAGGCAAAAGGATTTTAGAGGTGCAACTTGAGTGATTCCAACCTAAGCCAAACCTAGTTCAACCAAAGATTTTGCCCAAGCTAGGCTTGAATTTTTAAACTTCAAGTTGAGTTTAGGCCAAAAAACTCAAGCCTAACTTAAACTCAGGTTGGGCTTGGGTTGAGCCCTCAAATAGCTTGAGTTTAGGCCAATCAATTTGAGCATATGCCCAACATTTTATGATATACGTATCTACATGTTATCAGTCTATTCTACCTAAAAATTGGGCTGCAAAGCTCAACACGCCCTAGCCCAAGCTTGATCTAAGATGTGTTGGGTTAAGCTAGGGTTGGTAAGCTTGGGCTTGACCTTGAGTTGGGCCAAAACTAAGCTTGAGGTATGAGACTTAGGATCAACCCAAGCCCAACCCACTCAAGTTGCACTATAAGAAGGAGCATTGTGAAATTCCTAATTGTATTAATTTTTATTTTTTATCAAAGTGTTTTAACTTTTACTAAATTTTATTTAGTATTAAATTTTGATATTTTCAAATGAATTAAGGGATTTAAAATTAATAATAATTAAGTTTCAAATTATTTTGTTAGTTTTTTTTTTTAATTTTATAACAATAAAATTTAGTAATAATTTTCAAACCCATGCGATGCATGAGCTTTGTTAAAATAAATTGAAGCAAAAGGAGCTAGAGGTGCAGCTTGGGTGGGTCTAACCCGAGCTTGGTCCAGCTCAACCAAAGATTTTGCATGGGTTGGGCTTAGGCCAAAATACTCATGCCTAACCTAAGCTCGGGTTGGGCTTGGCTTGAGGGCTTCGAGGCCTCAAGTAGCCCAAGCCTGACCTAACCCAACCAATTTGATTGTGCCCAACATTTTATGATATACATGCATATCTACATATTATCAATCTATTCTACTTGAAATTGGGTACAAAGGTCAACACACCCCAAGCCCAAGCTCAACCCAAGATGTATTAGGTCAAGTTTGGGTTGGTAAACTTGGGCTTGACCTTGACTTGGGCCAAGCCTGAGCTTGAGGTTTGACACTTAGGGTCAACGTAGCCCAATCCACCTAAGTCGCAGTCCAAGAAGGAGAATTGTGACATTCCTAGTTGCATTAGTTTTTATTTTTTATCAAATTATTTTAACTTTTACTAGATTTTTAATTAGTGTTAACTTTTGTTATTTTTAAATGGATTAGGGGATTAAAATTAATAATAATTAAGTTTCAAATGATTTTGTTAGCTTTTTAATTTTGTAACAATAAAATTCAGTAATATTAAAAGTAATATTTAATAATTATTAAATAGTAATATTCGATATTATTAAAATTATTATGTTTCAAAATTTTAATAAATGTGTAGAAGTAAAATTTAGTGGTATTAAAAGTAATATGGTAATTAGTCAATAATTACTAATATTAATTAGAAGTTATATATAAAAAATAATATTTAGTAAATATTAATGGTAATATCCAATATTTAATAAATTTTGATTTATTAACACTAATTTATTAATAATTAAATAATTATTAACATTAATAATCAATTTAATATATCTCTAAAAAATATTAAAACAATTAATCGTGAAAATAATTAAAGCCATATGGGAAGGAGAGGAACCGACCCATGTGATTGTAATTAATCAATAATTAATAATTTTTACTATATTTATTTGCTGTAATTAATCAATAATTCATAATTAATCAGTTTATTAGTCAATGATTAATAACTATTCAGTTTAATTGAAGCATATATAAAAGCCATGTCACTTAGGTCATATGGGTTAGCTTGAATTGGATATGAGAAAACCGATCCATACCTGATCCATTCACAATTATTTTTATAATTATTAAATATTAAAAATATCAATAATAATATTTAATTTAATTTTATATTATTCAAAATTTTCACTAATTAAATTTATTTAACATTAGTTAACTAATCAATGATTGAATAAACCATTTCAGTTGGGCTTGGGTCAAAAACGGTCCAAACTAGTAGGTAGACCGACATCATAATAATTCTACTTGGATTTAGTTTTGGTAATGTACCGAGGCACATAGAAAATGGTTCCCTTTCACTATAATTTAGCTACCAAATCAACTCAAATGAATACTTAGACATTCTTTGTATAAAAATTGACTCAAATAAGCTAAGAAGGTATACTTGGGAAGGTATTTTTCTTGATATTGGAGGAGAGGATTGATTTGCAACATGGGTGAGTTGAGATTAGTTTGAGGAACCAAAAGCATCTGCAATATGAAGAAATGACATATAACATTAAATAATGAGATATTCATGGTGAAAAATTGGGGGTGCAAATGGATCAAATAATGATCCGATCCGATTCGAGATCCGATCTTATTTGATTGAATTCGGATCACCCATGTTCGGATCTTTAGATAGATCGGATTCGGATCACTCCTATCCGATCCGATATATGTTATATATTTATAAATATATTTATATATAACATATATATGTGTTATTTATTTATAAATATATTCTTTATATTGTATTTTTATAAATTTGTTATATTATTTTTTTATATAAAACATGTATATATATGATGAAAATAATTAAAAAAAATACTTGTATTTTTTGTTTTTTCTTTATTTAAATTGGTATATTTTATTTTCTTTTAATGATTTATTAAATTTTAAAGAAAATAAGTCGGATCAGATCAGATTCGAAGATCCAACTTACCGATAGGATTCGAATTCAGATTAAGGCCTATAAGATCCGATTGAATCTTTGGATTAGATCAAATCCGACATGAATAGTATTAGACTGGATTCAGGTATATCCTGATTTGAATCTGATCTGATCTGTTTGCACCCCTAGTAAAAAATGAGAGAAATTTGAGAAGTAAAAGAAAAAAGCTTCACTTGTTCCATTGCTGCAATGTGGTGCCCCCATTCCACTCTTGCTTTTTCATCCCAAACAGAGAGAGAAGGAGATGGAAGCAAAAGTACTTACAAGATTTACTTGTTTTTAATAATAACCACAGACTAAGCAAAACCAACAGTACCTGCTAATCTGCTATGCCCCTGTTTTTTCGTTCCAAATAGGGAGTGATGTTTGGAATATTAGACAAAGGGGATTGGGGGATGTTTCAAACAAGGTGGTAAGATTTCAAAAAGATGATTTCTTAAGGGAGATGGGATGTTTGAGAGAGGAATGATTAAGAAACACCCTTGCGTTTAAAACAAAGAGATTATTAGTTATGATTCAGAGGGAAAAACAACAAAAAGGAAAGTGAAATTGAGAAGGAATTTTGTTGGGAGATTTCCTATGATATTCAGATTGGTTTTCTATACATTTCGAACTTGGGGTGGGAAAATAGATATCTTCCTAATTTTTGGGCAAAAAAAAAAGGGTTCAATTATGATATCGGAAAAACAACTGACCAATAAACTGAAATTACTAATGTCATAGCAAATAAGGTGTTATTTATCAAAATTACCGGGTTATGATTGGTCAAAACTCTTTTCATAATTTTTGGGCAAAAAAAAAAAAAGGGTTCAATTATGTTATCGGAAAAACAACTGACCAATAAACTGAAATTACTAATGTGATAACAAATAAGGTGTTATTTATCAAAATTACCGGGTTATGATTGGTCAAAACTCTTTTCATATCATATATTTTTCTAAATCATAGATTTTCCCAAATAAAAAAAAAGAGATTGTCATGTTATCAACCCACTTCCTCCATATTTAAATATTAACTAACCCAATTCCCTAGTTTGTAAACCAGGGTTTGTTTCAAAAGCCTACTATATAAATCGCAAGTGGTGATTGTGGAAAACCCTAATATACACTTTTTCCAATTTCCAAAGTGATTTTTTATATCATCACCATCTCTCTGTAAAACCCATCCTGCCCCAAGGGCCAAGGGGGGAGGGATATCGAATCGAAGAAAGAAAAGAGGCAGAGAATTGAAAAAAGCAAGAAATGGTCAAGCAAGGGTATCCCTTTGGTTATTTACTGGTACGCATGTCCTTCTCTATATGCACCTCTAGCAAACTTGGAATTTGAAGCGTTGCTGTATCTGTTCAAACATAAAAAAGCCTCTCCATTTCCTTGGCGTATTTGCAAATAGGAAGGAGGGGAAGGAGGGAGGGAGAGAGTCCCCGAAATAAGGCGCGGGGCAAAAATGGGATCAAATGCGGAGAGTGCAAAATAGCTCTCCTGCCCTAGATCATTCAGTTCCCGCCAATTTTTTGTATCTCTCAGTAGACTGGAGTAATAATCGGTATCTTCTTCTCATCTTTCTTGCATCTCTTTCTCTAAATAGCTTCGTCCTTCTGAATTTCTTCTTCATTATTGTTGATTTCAAGTGTAAAAGAATAATAAAAAGTTGGGTTGCGAGGAACGAATTTCTCTGCTTTTTTAGGGTTTGAATTCGAAATCCATGGCAGGATGGTCGATTTTAACTGATGGGTCTGCTCTGGATTGCGTCGAAATCCTTCGACATCTTCAGAGTAATGGGTTCTGCTTGGATCTCGATGATTCTCTAAAGGGGGGTGCTGATAGTGGTAAAGATAAGCTCCAATGTCTATTTAGCCAGATTCTCTCCGTTTTTCTGAGAGAGATCTCTATCGGTGAAGAAGTTCGCGTTTTACCTGCAATGCTTGGAGATGGGCGGTGTGTGGATTTGTTCAAACTCTTCTGGGTCGTTAGGCAAAAGGGTGGATACGATTGTGTATCGAGGAATGGGTTATGGACTTCTGTAGCAGAGGAAGTCAGTTTGGGTTCGAGCGTCACGTCTTCTGTGAAGTTGGTTTATGTTAAGTATCTGGATTCGTTAGACCGATGGTTACAAAGAATCTTGAGAGATAAGGGCATTACGGTAGGTTTATCTGATTGCGGTGGGAATCTAAGTTTGTTTTCCGTGGAGTTAGAGACCGAGTTTGGAGGTATGCCATCTCAGACGTCAGAGGAAAAGAAGAAGGATGATTGTCACATTAAGTTGGATTCAGATGAAAACAATATTTCTTTGTTGGTCACGGAAAACACGTATAACACCCCGGAGGTGAGGAGTGTGATGGTGTTGGATAATGACAATGCTGATGATGACGATGTTATGATATTAGAACGAAATGCTGTTAATGAAGAGACTCTTTCACGCAAGAGAAAACGAAAGTCAATATCAGAAATGCTGAATTGGGTGACTGAGGTTGCAAAGAATCCTGGTGATTTTGCCAATGAAATGTTACCGGGAAGTTGCAGTGGTAAGGAGTTCTTGGTTCAGGCTCTGTTGGCACGAGAAGCATTATTTCTAAGAAGGCATATCCCTTCAACTATTGTACAGTCTCTCCTGCAGGTACATATCAGACTGCGTTTTTGTGCTTTCAAAAGCAAGGAATTCAATTACACTGAAGTGGTCCGGATTTTTATTGCCTGTTCAATGATATTCTAGCTCATACTTATTGATTTTTCTTTTCTATCTAGCAATGAGCTATCTAACTCTAAAGAATGGATGGTGTGTAAGCCTTATTTAATTTCTTTTCATCACAGAATTTTGTTGAAGATGATTTGTTATCACCATGATTCTGATTCAGAATCTGACATGCTTTAGAGTCTGACTTGGTAAACCCAAAAAATTAGGATTAATAGACACTTTACATAAACAATATGATTTTTATAGTATCATAAAATTTATAGAACTAGAAGCAAAGCGACTTAAATGGTTAAAATACAATCCGCAACTGACAAGTTAAACTCGTGACCTTTTGCCAGTTTGCCATGCGACCAAACTACTTTTTTTTTCCATTGTTTTTGGTTTTCCTGATTTCAATAATAAAATAAACCAATAAACAATGGGACATAAGTTATGTTTAAATTAGGGGGATGCAAGTACTAGTGTCCTTATTAGACGGTTTAAATGGTCGGATTCTGTTACATAGAGGTAATTAAAGTGAGAATTTGTAATTTTGGAGAGTTGAATCCACCTAATTTATATTGTACTTCAATCTGACATGCATTTTGAAGAACCAGACATGAGTCAACTTGTGGACATGGTTTTGACTTACAAGTCTCCTCCAAAGGTGGGTTGCTCACGCAACACTGATGTAAAGTAAATAGACCCAAAAGTAATAGTTTCCCCTTTGTTATTGTCATTGAGGCCATGTTCCAACTTATTGAAGAACCAATAAACAATGGGACAAAGTTATGTTTAAATTAGGGGAATGCAAGTACTAGAATCCTTATTGGACAGTTTAAATGGTTGGATCCTGTTACATAGAGGTAATTAAAGTGAGATTTTGTAATTTTGAAGAGTTGAATCCACCTAATTCAGATTGTACTTTAATCTGACATGCATTTTGAAGAACCAGACATGAGTCAGCTTGTGGACATGTTTTTGACTTACAAGTCTCCTCCAAAGGTGGGTTGCCCATGCAACACTGATGTAAAGTAAATGGACCCGAAAGTAATGGTTTCTCCTTTGTTATTGTCATTGAGGTCATGTTCCAACTTATTGCGTTTGTTATACTAGTAAAGTTTCATGACTCCATTTTAAGTATGCATATTTTTTATTGGATTTGCCTTGATTTTTTTTTTCACCAACTCTGTGCATGGTCTTTTGAACTTCACTTCTTTAGAACCTTTGGCATGATTGAACCTCATTGCTATTAATGGTCTTCTTAGCATGTAATATGATACTGCCCAATGCTGGTCACAACTATCTAGGGCAGTGAAAGGATGTATTTGGTATAGAGATTTTATCATGTGTATTTGATACACATGATCAAGTCATATCTTTGGGGAAATACTCCATGGTTTCCTCAAATGTTCTTTAGGTTTGAATCTTTCTTTATGGCACTGTGTGATCTATCAAATGTCTTTATTTATTTTATGCTGGTTTTATTTATTTCTTTTTTGTTATTTTGTGTGGTCTTATTGATTGCTTAATATTTTTACTAATGTCTCATTAATGTTCCTTAAATTTGATTGCCATGAATTGGTGGCATGGCACTCCAAAAATAAATCTTCAATTCGAGGACCTACTTTTAGTTCCACAGGAATACCTTTAAGGCCCCGTTCGTTTTCACTTACTTGGGTAAGTATGTTTACTTGGGCAAGTATTTCCTAGGTTTCACTTACCCGGGTAAGTTAGGTTCTAGTGCTCTTGTGCAATACACGTTACCCAGGTAAAGAGAGAGGTGGGACGGAGAGCGTCTTATTGGCATGCAGGTAAGTTACCCACCTTCCAGGAGGGTATCAGGTACTTGAGTAATTGATACTCTTTGGCATCTTGGCTTATCGTTGGACCCAATATAGAAGCACATGAACATATGGATTGTGGTCAATTGCCTGTTTGACCAACTTAGCCCCTGCTATATACCGAAAAACGAATAGGGCCGAAAGCACAAGGGAAAGGGATTGAAATTTCTTAGATTAATTTTGGAATTTGGGGAAGGCTTTGGCATGTTCATTGGGTTAGTTATCACTGATGATGATTTGGAGTTTCTCTAATGAACTTTAACTAATAGACACATCAAATATCAATTGTGATCATACCCAGAAAACATAGAAACCAGCAAGAAGCAGTGGGGAAAATAAGAGAAAAGAGAAAAAAAAAGAAAATGAGAAAGGAGAGAAAGAAGAGAATGAGTACAATGAATGGCATACTTGCTCAAAACTTTGTTTCTTTTCTTGGATTTTAAGGTGGACTTCTTTAGAAGCTGGGTGGCCATAGCTGAATCTTCTCTTACAAAACAAAAAACTTTGGAGGTTTGGTCTCCACTTGGAGGGGGATGAATGAAGCTGAATTTTGATGGCAGCAGTATGGGAAATCTGGGACCCTTAGGTATTGGAGGGTTAGTCAGGGATGAAATTGGTGCTATCCGGGCCTTGTTTTCAGGCCCAATTGGGTAAGGAAATTCACTAATGGTCTGCTTGGTTGCCGAGAAATAGTGGGATGAGAAGGGATGGGATGTGAAAGGATGGGATGAGAAAGGAAAATTTTATTTTCTCATTTTTGGTCACTATGTTTGCTGATACCCACTATCCTACAAAATTTGCTTCTAGGGTTTGGTTGATGAGAGCTGGCAGATCCAAGAGCATATTTGCAAGAGAAGTTTATGTTGTTAGGACAAATAAATCATGAAAAAATTAAATTGATGTTAGATCTATAATAAAACACTTTTGGTTTAGTAGATCTATACAATGAACAAGGGTTTATAGCAACAAAAAAATAAAAGGGTTTTAGATCTGGTAACCCAATAGCAAAGGGTTAGCAAATGGAGAAGATATGGGAAGAAGATGAGGATGAGAACTCTAGTCTCCAGAGACGAAGCCGTGCTCCTTGTTTGCTAAGCACCTGAAACACATTCTTGATAAAAAAATGCAAAAAGAAAAAGCGTGAATGATGTGTGAAACGAAATCCTATCTCCTTGCCATCCGAGAAGACAAAGACAAGGTTACCTTCGCTGGAGAAGACGAAGACCATATCTTGTCTCCTTGTCATTTGAGATCTAAGATCAAAGTTGATGGAGGAAGAGAAGGGTATTTTTGGTGGAATAAAACATTAAATAGCGTGAAAGGGGATGTGAGTACATACTAGAGGCCATATCGTTGGAGATGAAAGATAAGGTGGTTGGAGTTTGGACCATTGTAGAGGTAGGCGGTGAGAACAGTCCACCCTCAACAAAATTTTTTCACACTCGTCGCACAACTTTTGTTTCTCACTGGGGTCACACCTATTTGTGAGATCCTGTGCCCCTTATTTTGAGAATACTAATCCCATCTCATCGCATCATATCTCTCGAAACAAACATGAGAAAATAGGAATATTCACGAATATTCCTATTTTCTCATCCACGTTGTGTGAACCAAATGGACTGTAAGGGCAGAGTTCTTAGCAGTAGTTTATGGGGTGGAGAAAACTGAAGAAATGGGTATTGACAGGTTGATCATTGAATGTGATTCAAAGATTGCATTATTACTTTAATTATATTATATTAATATTTTAGTTGTATTTAATTATTATTATTTAATATATAATATCTTTGCATTTTATTATTAATTTATTAATATTTTATTATAATACTATTATTTTATTAATGTTTTACTAATATTGTATTATTATTTTATTATTACTTTGATTATATTGTATTAATATTTTATTCATACTTTATTATTATTTTATATTTAATAATTAATATCTTTGTTTGTAATTATTAATTAGTATTTTATTATAGTACTATTATTCTATTACTATTTCTCTTATAACGTGTTAATCGTTTATTAATTTTTTATTATTTTATTATTACTATATTATCATTATCCTATTATTTTAATAATATTTTATTATCTTATTGATATTTTATTAATATTAGGGTTTGGGGGTGGGGGGGTTTTGTCACGAGTTCTTTAGGCGGGGAGCTTGGATGGCCACTCCCCCATATAGGGGAGTCCCATTCCACCAAGGTTGGGAATCAAAATCCCATTTTACCAAACAAATGGTTGGAACCAAAATGGGCCATTCCGATTCCAATTCTAGACACCTATTCTAGGCAACGGGCCAAATTTAACTGTTTAAGGTTTCTAGAGGTTAAGGCATGCGACTACATGAAGCGAGGAGCCAATGTGGATAAATGGGAAATGAAAGTTATATAACAATATGCCAAGGATAGTAAAACGCTAGTGATATAACAATATGCCAAGTACTCATTTAGAAAAACATTCTTTACATCTAATTGGTGTAGTTCTCATGAATAATTAGTTGCTAAGGATAGTAAAACACAAATGATATTGAGCTTGGTAGCTCGAGCAAATGTCTCCTCATAATCTATCCCTTCCTTTTGGGTAAACTTTTGCTACAAGCCGTGCTTTGTACCTTTCCACTGAACCATCTACCCTATGCTTCACATTAAAGACCAACTTACATCCCACAACACTCTTCCCCTTTGGTAGATCCACTAGTTCCCACATTTTGGCTTTCAATAAAGCCTCCATCTCGTCATTCATTGCCTCCCTCCATCTTGGATCTATAACAACTTCAAAGTACCTAGAAGGAATATGGACAAAAGAAAGAGCAAAAATAAAGGAATGGTAGCTAGGGGACAAGATAGAATAAGACACAAACTTAGCAATGGGATGGCAAGTGGTACATGAAGGAATAGGCTTTTTAAGAGCAACGGGAATAACCAAGTTAGAAACAGAAGGAGAAACAATAGGGAAGGAGTAACTTGGATTAGTAGGATTAGATTGGTCGGAGTTTGGTTGGTTGTCATCACAAGATGGAGATCCTTTTTTCTTTTCTTGTATGTATTTAGTTCTAAATGCTTTTGGAGAGTTCGATTAGTACCACCATCATTTGCACCAGTGGTGGATTCAACTAGGGTCTCAATAGGTTCATATGAAGGGCCAGAGCTAGGAGAGTCAAGGGAAGAAGGTGGAGGACTAGGAGCAAGGAAAGGAACAAAATAAGGTGAGGAAGAATCCTTTTCCACCACCCTACTGGTCTCCCCCTGAAGAGGATTTTGGGAGACCGAAAGAAGGATGACAAAGAAAACATCCTTGGTGACAATTTTTTTTTTTTTTTTTTCAGACATGGGATCATAACACTTGTAGCCTTTTTTTGTAGAAGAATACCCAAGGAAAACACCACTAATAGCCCTAGGATCCAACTTAGATTGTTTAGGAGACTTGACATGAATGAAACAAACACATCCAAAGACTTTAGGAGGTAGGGGAAAGTCGGTTTGTGTAGAACACAAGACATAATGGAGTTTTCATGCACAAAACCCTAGATGGCATTTGGTTTATCAAAAAAGATGTAGTAAGAATTGCTTGAGACCAATAAGACTTGGAAACTTGATGCTGAAATAACAATGCCCAAGTAGACTATAAATTCCTATTATTGTGCTTAGCAACTCCATTAATCCATTTTGTTGAGTATAGGCACACGAAGATTAATATAGAGTACTCAGTGATTTAAAAGGCGCGCCTGGTGCACAGGCGAGGTGCATTTTAGGGTAGGCGCCTTGCCTAGGTCCTAGGCGTAGCCCTTTCAAAAGGTGCACGCTTGGTGCGCCTAGGCGGGCGCCTCAGCCTAGGCATGCACCTTTTTAAAATTTTGTGCTTTTTTTTTGTTTTTTTTTTTTGACCCTAAAGGCTGGGCTAAGGCGTTTTAAAGTTCTGCTTTTTCGCTTGCTTTGCTCACTTACCGAGGCTCCGAGAACCCCTTATTTGGTAATGCTGTTCATTCATTCATCCTACTAAAATATCTTCTTAAAAAGCAATTAAAATTATAAAATCACTATTTTTTTGTGTGAAGACTAAGAATTTAAGACCCTAACATGGACTTGTTCGGACTTGCCTCGAGGGGTGTGGCACAAAGGTGGCTCGTAGAATCAGGAATGTAATATGTTTTACATCACATTAGCTACTTTAAGTAATGCAATTGAGGAAAAAAAGAGATTGTGGGCTTTCATGCTTGAAAATGTTTTATATGTTTGATTTTATTTTTAAATTCACATTTGAATCAGTGTTTTAAAAGGCGTGGGAGGCGTATGCTTGGAGGCGTGCCTCTAGGCGAGGCACTCCTAAATGCCCTGAGGCGTATGCCAAAGGCATTGACACATCTGAGGCATATGCCTCATGTGCTTTTTTCATGAGGCGTGCTAGAGGCATATGCCTCATGCGCTTTCTTCATGAGGCGTGCTAGAGGCGTACACCTCATGCACCTCATGCACATCTTATATAAAAAAGACAAAAAAAAGAAATAAAAGGAAAGGGAAGAGAAGAAAAGATAAGGGGAAAGAAAGTGGTTTGCCCCCTGCCCCTTTGGCTGGGGGGCTTCGACACCCAGACCCCCCACCCCCTTTTCGATGCAGCCTAGTTTGTGTTTTTGACCCACTCTCTTTCAACTAATGTTATGCATCTTTATTCTTCTTAATATAAAAGATTTTTATTAAAAATAAAGAAAAATGAGGTTCCCCCTTGCTCTTCCTTCCTCCTCCTAACCCCCCTCCTCTTAAGGAGGCTTACACCTCTTGTGTTCTGAACTATGCCTCACGCCTCTAGGTAGTGGAACGCCTCGTGTCATGCCTCTGTGTTTTAAAACGTTGATTTGAATATGCTTTACATGTTATGTTTATGTATTTTTATTTTAGATAATAGTTTTTTAAAGCATTTATTTTAAAATTTAAAGTTTATATTTTTTATTAATATTATGTTTAATGTTTTTTTATTTTTTTTTTATTTTTAGCATTTTTTTTATTTTTGCACCTTGCTTCAAAAAGACACACGCCTCGCCTTGCGCCTTGTGCCTCAGGCACAAATTGACCCCTGCGTCTTTTTTGCGCCTTGCGCTTTTAAAACACTGACAGTACTAAAATCTTCCAAGAGCACATTCAATGAACTCTTGAAGTATTCTGCTGCATTATTCAATGAAAACTGTTTTATTTTCTTCCCAAATTGAGTTTCAATCATTTTGTAGAATATCATAGTTGTTCTTGGTACTTCTGTACGATTTTTTAGCAAGCATTTGGAAAAGTGATTAATAAAAGCTAATAATATCATAGTTGTTCTGGACATGTAATTGAAGTATGTACTTGATGTTGTTGGTGTGTCATCTAGACAACCAATGTGATAGGATGTAACTTTTCTTTTAATAATTTTTTTTCTTTCTTGATTCTTCACAAAAAAAAGCTAATATAATACTGATAGCCATCCAAAGAAACAAAGGGTGAAGGGTTGGTCCCAAGCATCAGAGTGAACTAAATTAAAAGGAGCACATGTTTCATTATCTAAAATAGTATAAGTAGTTTTACATTATTTTGACATCTGACAGATTTCACAAACTGAACTTTGACTTGAGATTGACTAAAATAATTCTGGAAACAACTCTTTTAACAAAGGAAAAGACATATGGCCTAGTCTAGCATGACACAGATGCACCCTAGTTATCGACTCCTTGTCCTCACAACCATTGGAAATTGGTAATAGCAGAGTCGAACTAATATCTCCATCGAAGTAATAAAGACCCCCAGCTTCATGATTGCTCCCAATGTTTCTCCTTGTCAATCTGTCCTGAAATACACAATGTATGGGAAAAAAGGTTATACTATAGTTCAAGTTCTTATTAAGCTTCGAAATAGATAAAATATAAGAAGTGAAAGTAGGAACATGAAACATAGACTTAAAGGAGAGATCCTTGCTGAGGTGAACCTCCCCCTTACCGGAAATGGTGGAGAGGGGTGGCAATTGAGTCATATCGTCAGGAGCCCGTGAGTCATGAGCTGAGAAGGGGTGGCAATTGAACCTCCCCCTTGTTGTGACCAGCCATGAGCTGAGAAGTAAACAAGGAGCGCAAGTGTGTCATATGGTCAGCAGCCCCTGAGTCAATAATTAGGGGTGGCAATTTCTACCCTACCTGGTGGGTACTTGCCCCTACCTACCTCAATGAGTCAGGTTATTTTGCTTGAAAAACAGATTTTGGGACTGGTACAGGTTTTGGGATTTTACAACCTATATAGGTAAGGAATTAGGCTAAACCCAACCCTCCCCAATCCACGTATTGTTGGAAGGCATGCGGACTTATGTATTAGGTGTTCAATTTAATAATGTTTTGAATTTTAAGTCAAGGATAATTGATAATTTATGTACTTTTTACTTGTGCTAATCAAATAATTGGAAATTTCAATGCTTTATGTTATTTTACTTGTTTTTTGCTTATATATAACAGGAAATGATAAGAAATTATATGCAAGTTCTAGACCCAACCTGCCAACTTGACCCCACCCACCCTCAAATGAGGGGAGGGTAGGGTCTGGGAGGGTTTTGCATTTTCATGTGTGGGGAAGGTTTAGATTTTGAAACTCCAACCCGTTACGGGTTGGGAGGCCTAGGGAGGCGGGTAGGGTTTTGAATTTACAAAACTCTCACTGAACCCGTTTCATTGCCATCCCTATCAATAATCCAAGAATTGGAATGCAAAGGACTAGTTCCTTTGCTATGTGCCTGTGCCATAGCCTGGCTAAGAATCTCCACCTTATCAGCTTTAAAGTCCAGGATGTCCCTGAGATGGAAGAATTAGTGGTCTGTCCCATTGGTGGAGTAATTGTGGATTTGTTCCTCTGGTCATCTGCACAATTTGACATAATAACATTCGCACCTATCACAACAGACTTCATTTCTGATCCTATCCTTATTAGTTTTTCCACTCGTCCATCTTTAACATATACATTTCTACGACACTCAGTTTTTGGACATGTTTCTTCCTTGCCCAACATTCTGCCCCATTCAGTATTGATGACCTTACAGTTGTTTCCTTTTAACCTAAGTGATATTCACCTATCACATAAGACTCTAAAAAGTTGGATCTTATGGTGACGTTTTTGCATTTCTTGGTTGCTTTGTGCTCCAATACCAAAGCATACCTTCATATTATCTGCTTGATTATGAGTAGGTAAAGAGAAGATTTTGTGTTGCTTTCAAGTTTCAAGTATGACGTTGTTGATGCTCATTCTTCTATTGTTGTGGGCATTAACCTCATGAACATTGGTGTCTTGAGAAGTTTATTTACTTTGGTGTCTGTATATGTGCTTTGCACTGTTTGATACCAATCCCCCCTTTTAAAGTTTTTTCAACAACCATAAATATCATCATCTAAACCTTATCCTAACTATATGGGGCTGGCTACATAAATCTGTTTCGTCATTCTATTCTGCTTAATGCCATATCCTTTGTTAAATTATGAGCTTTCAACAACTATAAATGCTTTTTGCTTATCATGTTCATTGTATAATGTAGATATTGTTTCCAACTTGCAGAAAAAGATGAAGATGCATCCCTCCATGTATGAGGATCACATTGGTGGTGATCACCAGTCTACAGAGAGATTGAGATGCAGTGAAAGAATTTCTGTGAAAAAATCTCACTCACTCTCTTGTTCTAAATCATCATCAGCCACTAAGAATGACATGAACATAGGTTTTAATCCTTTCAATAAAGTGCTGGAGAATAGCTATAATAACCGTTTGCTTGCTGCAGTTGATTCTTTGTCTGAAAATGCAGCACTTGGTCTAGATGGTGATGATGACTTTGAGAAGCAGGTTCCTGTGGGTCCACACTTTCAAGCCGAAGTGCCAGAATGGACTGGTGCAGTTTCTGAAAGTGACTCTAAATGGTTGGGTAAACGAGTTTGGCCATTGGATTTAGGTGAACGCATTTCAATAATTGAAAGAGATCCTATTGGCAAGGGTAGATCACATTCATGTGGTTGCAAACTTCCAGGGTCAGTTGAATGCATCAGATTTCATATTGCAGAGAAAAGAATGAGACTGAAACTTGAATTGGGTTCAGCTTTCCACCATTGGAGATTCAACTACATGGGGGAGGAAGTTTCACTTTCATGGACAGAGGAAGAAGAAAAGAGGTTTAAGACCATAGTTAGGTTAAATCCCCCATCTCTGGATAAATGTTTCTGGAACCAGGCATTTAAATCTTTTCCTACCAAAAAGAGGAAAGACTTGGTAAGTTATTATTTCAATGTGTTTCTTCTTCGGCGCAGAAGTTACCAGAATCGGGTGTCTCCAAACAACATTGACAGTGATGACGATGAGTCAGAGTTTGGATCTGTTAGCAATGGTTTTGGGCATGAAGCGCTTAAGGTAGCAGGCTCTAAATCTGTCTTCTGTGCTCAAAATAAGCAGTGTGTTGACTTGGAAGGGTACACATGTTGACTAGGTTCCAAGATTTTGATAAGAAGTGTAAATTTTTGATTTTACATGTTTTGGTCATTGGGCAATTTCCAATGAAGATCTGCGAGTGCTTTTCTCTCCACCTTTCCAGTTCAAGAACATCCACCACAGCCTTCCAAGATTTCTTTTGATGGGTCTAAAGATTTTCCTGGGTATGGGTGGGTTTATTTTGCATGAGAACAGCACTCATGGTGGAAAAAACTTCACCGAGTGAAAAAGCAGAAACATGTGGAACCTGTTTGAACTTTCGGCTTTTATTGCTGATCAGAGTATCAGACATTTTTGGGCTTGCACACTGATTTTTAAGGATACTTCTGACCGATGAATATCAAATCCAGGTATTACTATCAGATTGCATTCAATTATATTTTCATCATAGGTAAGCAAACAGCAAAACTGACTCAACCAGAAGCATTTAGTGTCAGAGAGAGGTACATATTTTCTCTATGTTTGCATTTGGCCATATGCGGGATATGATAATGCTTTTGTTATCAAATTAAAATGTAACTATACAATTGATTTTATCAAACCAATATTTCAGAAGAAAATGATAATCAGTTGAAGAAGGGATTTGCTTACAGTAATATAACAGTAATGAGCTCCTTTTAAAAATAAAAGAAATAACATTAATGAGCAATTTGTATTATTTTATAATTTCTGTTAAATAGTAGTTAGGCCCTCTGTGTGGCATATGGAGAGCCTCATGTCCCTTTTTTTGAAAATTTGTTTATTAAATCTATCCACTAATAGAAAAAGGCAACAAATAGGTTCTATCCAGATTCCAGAAATGAACAAAACCAGGATAAATTATAAATATCAGTATTTTTTTGTTAAGAATAATCTTTGTTGTGCTTTTTTATGACTATTCGGTTAGGATACTATTAAAAAGTAATGTCATAACATTTTATTTCATATTTAATAAGGGAAAACCTATAATACAATTTTTGTACCATTTCATGGGATGGACAATGCTGTCCTGAGAAATCTGGATGGACCTAATTGTCTCATTTTGCTTTCTGTTTAAGTTAATTAGCAGAGACCATAGTGACCATTAGTTTTAGAAGGCACTGATATAACATATGAGGTGGTGAGGCATGTCCAAACTGCCTTGCCTTGATTGTGTTATGTATCTTAGGAGAACTCACCCCTAAAAGCTAGCTGTTAGAGGGAGGGAAGCCAAGAACACATGTACCCCACAACAGCATCCCATACTACCTATGTGGGATACTTCACATTAGCATCCCATACTACCAACATGGGACAAATGGATCATAACATTCCACCACACTTTGCAGTCCCGGCGCCCACGCAGGCTGGCTTTGCACATAACAAATGGATCATAACATTCCAGCCCTACTGCATTCAATTTTGGTATCGGAGCATCAGGTTTCAAATGGCTCATTACCATGGTAGAAACATGAGAGGAAGATTAAGTGAACAAGATAAAGAAGAGCTGTTGCTTGCACTTATTAATCGAGTGGACATCCTAGAAGCTCAAGTCAAAGTGTTGATGGAAGAACAAGAGAAAAACAGCACTGGTGCTGAAGCAGAGGGTTCTAACACCAATAACCCTACTAGTCCACATGTGAACCACCTACTAAGGAATCCCATCAAGCCCCTAAGGTCTCGAACTCTACAAACTCAAGGTACTTTAAGTGATTTATATGATGAGTTGGTGGAGCATTCTAAGACTACTATAGATGACTATCGGGATGATATTACTAGTAAAGTGAAGATAGAAGTTCCTAGTTTTAGAGGTGATATCAATCCACGAGTTTTCTCCAATTGGTTGGCAGAACTAGAGGAATACTTTGATTGGTTCGATATGTCGGATGAAAGACGGGTTAGATTTGCTAAACTTAAACTTGTAGACCATGCAAAAGTATGGTGGAGTGTGGAGAATAGATTACAGAATATGGGTAAGCGTCCTATCACCTGTTGGGAAGATATGAAGCATTACTTGGAGGAGAAATATTTGCCTAATGACTTCCAAGATGCTCTTCATGATGAGATGATGACATTGAGGCAAGGCAGCTTATCTGTGTTTGAGTACATGCAGAAGTTTGATGAGCTTACTATTAGATGTCAGTCTACAGAAAGTGAGAAGCAAAAATTAGCCCAGTTTTGGAATGGTTCAAGGGCTGATATTCAAAGGGATGATGATTGCACAAGTTTATGATGTAGATGATGCTTTTCAGATGGCTTTTAAAATAGAGAAGAGCTTGAAGCAAGTGAATAGTAGGAGGTTTGGTATTCAAGTTGGGGAGGCAGCAACACATAAAAGTTTAGATGAGGGTAGAGTCTCTAGACCTACATCTCATAATGTGGTTCCAGTAAGGTCTAATGGTTCAAAGTATCAGGGAGCTGATAACAAGGGGAAGAACATTATGATTGATGCTAATAAAAGGGAAACAACAGAAAATACTTGTTTCAAGTGTGGTGGAAAGGGCCACTATGCATTTCAATGCCCTAATAAAAATCTACACATAGGGTGTGAGAAGGAAGGACAAGTGGAAGATGATGAAGGAGGCCTTGGTGAAGAGGAGTACATTGGATCTGAACATGAAGAAGAAGATGACAACAATCTTGTTGGAGTTGTTAGACGCGTTTTTGCATCCTCTAAAGAAGAAAAGAAAGAAGATTGGCTTCATATAGCGATCTTCCTCACCTTTGTCAAGAGTGGAGACAAGCTTTGCAAGCTAATAATTGATGGTGGTAGTAGCATGAATGTGGTTTTTGCAACAACTGTTGAAAGGCTCAATCTAGTTGCACAACCTCATCCTCAACCATACAAGATTCTTGGTTAAACAAGATGACACTTCAGGTAGAACAAAGAGCTCTTGTTTCTATTTCCTATGGATCTTATGTTGATGATATTTGGTGTGATGTTGTTCCTATGAATGTTACACATATTCTATTAGGCCGACCATGGCTTTACGATAGGGATGTATATCATTGTGGGAAAAAGAATACATATTACTTTCTATTTAATGGGAAGAGAATTGTTATGAAACCCATGTCACCTGATGAGATCAAGAAGCGAACTAAGACCCCTCAAAAGACAACTCCAGCCCAAAAGCAAGTAGTTGAACAAAAGAAGCAATCTCTCTTGTTGTCCAAGAAGCAATTTGAGGAGGAAAGCAAAGCATTAGGCCTTGTTTATGCCCTAATAGTGAAAGAAGTGAATAAACCAGCACATGCCCCTATTTCAAAGGTGCCAAAAGAGGTTGAAGATTTGCTGGCTGATTTTTTAGATTTGATCCCAGAAGAGTTGCCTGATGAATTACAACCTCTACGTGATGCCCAACATGCAATAGACTTGATTCCTGGGTCTCAACTACCTAATTTGCCTGCACACCAGATGAATCCCATAGAACATGTTGAGTTTAAGAGGCTAGTGGATGATCTATTGAAGAAGGGCTTCATTAGAGAGTTTTAGCCCATGTGTTGTACCAACTCTACTCACTCCTAAGAAGGATGGCTCATGGAGGATGTGCATTGATAGCAGAGCGATCAATAAGATTACAATCAAGTACCGGTTCTTTATTCCACGCTTAGATGACATGCTGGATACGATGAGCGGAACTACAATTTTCTCTAAGATTGATCTTAGAAGCAAATATCACCAAGTTAGGATTCGACTTGGAGATGAATGGAAAACCGCTTTTAAGACAAAGGATGGCCTCTATGAGTGGCTGGTTATGCCTTTTGGCTTAACTAATGCTCCTAGCACTTTCATGAGAGTTATGACTCAGGTACTTTGTTCTTTTATTGGTCGTTTCTTGGTTGTTTACTTTGATGACATTCTTATATACAATCATACTCCTGATGATCCTCTTGATCATTTATGTCAACTGATGAGAGTTTTACGCCAGGAAAAGCTCTACATTAACTTAAAGAAGTGCTCTTTCATGACACCTATTGTTATCTTTTTAGGATTTGTTATATCATCTAAAGGTGTTAAAGTTAATCCTGACAAGGTGAAAGCTATACTTGATTGGCTCACTCCCACTAACATGTATGAAGTGAGAAGCTTTCATGGATTGGCTACTTTTTATAGACGTTTCATAAGGAATTTCATCTCTATTATGGCACCAATTACAGAAGCTATGAAAAAGGGGGAATTTGTTTGGTCTAAGGCTGCAACTAAAGCCTTTGAGACTATCAGGCAAAGGATGACTTAGACCCCAGTGTTACATTTGCCCAACTTTTCAAAAATCTTTGAGGTGTTTTGTGATGCTTCCCAAGTTGGAATAGGTGGTGTGCTTATGCAAGAAGGACATCCTATAGCTTTTCACAGTGAAAAACTTAATGAAGCTAGACAAAAGTATTCTACATAAGACAAAGAATTTTATGCTGTTGTGCAATATCTTCGACATTGGCGGCATTATTTAATTTCCCAAGAGTTTGTTTTGTATTCAGATCACGAGGCACTCAAATATCTCAAATCTCAGAAGCATCTTAGTAGTCGACATCAGAAATGGGTTGAAATTTTAGTAGAATATAACTTTGTCATTAAGCATACAGTTGGTGCCGAGAACCAAGTAGCCAATGCATTGAGCCGAGTGGTGTATATACTTCATTCTATGTCTGTACAGGTTGTGGGGTTCGATCATTTGAAGAAAGATTGTGATGGTTGCAAGGATTTCAGCATCATTTATAGTTCTTTACAAGCTAGACAGCAATCTGAATATCCTGGCTTTTCTATCCATGATGGTTATTTGTTCAAGGGAACTTGCTTGTGTGTTCCTAACACTTCACTATGTGATTATGTTATATGGGAGTTACATACAGGTTAAATTGTTGGGCATTTTGGTCGGGCAAGACCATTGCTATGGTAGAAGATCGCTTTTGTTGGCCTAGCCTTAAGGTTGATGTTGATCGCGTGATTAAACAGTGCAGAATTTGTCAATTGGCAAAAGGGAGAAAGAAAAATACAGGGTTGTACACCCGTTTACCAATTCCACATGAGCCTTGGCAAGATCTCTTTATGGATTTTGTCCTAGGTTTGCCCAAGACAATAAGGGGTAATGATTCAATTTATGTTGTTGTAAACAAGTTCTAAAAAATTGTCCACTTTATTCCTTGCAGTAAGACATCAAATGCCTCACATGTGGCAAGTCTATTCTTTAGGGAAATTATTCGTTTACATGGTGTTCCTATTACTATTGTTTTTGATCGTGATGCTAAGTTTATGAGTTATTTTTGGAAGACACTTTGGAAACTCTTCAATACAAAGCTGAAGTTCTCATCTTCTTTGCATCCTCAGACTGATGGCCAAACTGAGGTAGTTAATAGGAGCTTCGGTGATTTGCAACGTTGCTTAGTTGGTGACCATACTTCTTGGTGGGATTTCATCCTACCT